AAAAAAAAAAAAAAAAAGAGGAAGAAGGGCAAGAGTCTTCCTTTTATTTTCATAGACTGGGTAACTGTGGTTTTGAAAAAGGTGGTAACTTACCCAAGATTGTGTTTCCTTTGGTCTCAATAGTCTTGTTACTATTCCCCATGTATTCTAAAACATGATACCATCTTTTCACTTTCCTTTTCAGACAACTGAGGCAGAGGAAGTCTTTGTGCCTGTTTTAAACATAAAACGTTCTGAGCTACCTCTACGAGGTGACAACGTCTTCTTCCTTCATAAGGTTAACATTCCAGAGGCCATCTTGATTTTTCGGGATGAGATTGACCTCCATGCATTGCACCAGGCTGGCCAACTCACCCTCATACTTGTTGACCATCATGTCTTACCCAAGTAAGTAGAAGAAAATCAATTTGATAGTTATCATGTACTATGTGACTCTGATGAGTGAGAAATAAAGAGGAAGAAAGGGGCAGTGCCCATAGCTCAATGGGTAGGGTGCCAGCCACATATACCCAGGTTGGTGGGTTCAAACCCAGCTGGGGCCAGCTAAACAACAATGACAACTACAACAAAAAAAATAGCCTGACGTTGTGGTAGGTGCCTATAGTCCCAGCTACTTGGGAGGCTAAGGCAAGAGAATAGCTTAAACCCAAGAGTTTGAGGTTGCTGTGATCTGTGGGGCCATGGGACTCTACCGAGGGCAACATAGCAAAAATCTGTCTCAAAAAAAAAAAAAGACATATACCATAATAATAAAAAAATAGAACATGGAGAGTTGAAACTAAAGGATAGCTCAGAGATCATTTCAGTCTGCCTTTGGTATCATTATTTTAAGATTTTATGTAATAGGAAGCTTTGAAAAATGTTTGCTACTGTATTTTTCTTTTTCTTTTTTTTTTTTTTGAGACAGAGTCTCATTATGTTGCCCTCAGTAGAGTGCTATGGCGTCACAGCTCACAGCAATATCCAACTCTTGCTTAAGCCATTCTCTTGACTCAGCCTCCTAGTAGCTAGGACTATAGGCACCTACCACAATGCCCAGCTGTTTTTTTTTTTTGTTTGTTTT